TCTTCGCTCGTCGTCGGCAGCACCGGGTTGCAACACGTTGCGGATACGAGCGAGTTAAAGCGGAGAGTATTACGAACGGGGGGGGATTCTACCGCAGACGGGAAATTATGGCCCCGTCTCTTCTCGCGAGAAGAGGGCTCCTCCGCGGGTAGACGCGTTTCTTTCTTCGGCGCTTCGCGAGGATTCCTTCGTTGGCTCGAGAATCCGTCGATGTACGCATTGCCCATTAATTATAATTTGGAACTTTAATCTTTGATATGAGATATTTCTGATAATAATATCAGTGATTTTTCCTTGTCATCAATAATATTAATGACTTTTGTTCGTACATCTTGGTCTCTCCGTTGGGTTCTTACAGGAAACAAACATTTCGTTTTACGATAAAACGAAATTCCGTGAGACTCGCAGACTGCAACATCAATTCTCGACCAGCGCGGAATTAAATTATCATCATCGTAACACACGCACTCGTAATACCCGCGAGCGTAGATTAGCAATTTCGAAGGCGAGATAAAGAAAGAAAGAAGGGAAGAAAGAGAGGTCATCGTACATTTCAATCCGCGTCATCGGCCGAAATTACTTTTGTACTCTTTGACACGGTGATAAATCTCGCGAGAAATACTTGGTCGACGCGGTTGGATGATTAGTTCGTGAGCTCTCGACTGGTAGCTGACAATACCTGATGTGAGACGAGGTGGCTCTCGTAAAATTCGAATTTGTCTGCCGGTCGTTAGTCGAGAAATCCAAAACCATCTTTCGTTTACCGACTCTCGCTTTCCTCTCTCTTTCTCTCTTCCATTTTCGATCTCTCTCTTCCTCTCTGCCTCGTTTTCTCACTCCTTTCTCTCTCTCTCTCTCTCTTCCGCGCGCGACCGTACGGAATAATCTACCGGCCGTAGAACAATCTATCACTCGTACAACGAAAGTTTGACGCAATGTCAAAACGCGGGCCCGTTAATTTTTCATGTCGTTTCACCCGGAACTCGTGCTGTAACTGCGCCTCCTAACCCACGCTCGTATATATACACCGCCGAGCTGATCCACGTCGTCGACGCTGGTCCAGCAAGTTGTCTCGACGTTGCCATTCATTATTCAGCACATACACCGATATGCTACCTTTCGACACGCGGGGACGCACTTGCGTGACGCTGCGGCGAGAGAACGGCGCGCACCATATTCGTTTGTATTTGTATTATCCAATACACACCATTACTCGAGATAGAAATCATCTCCTCGCCTTCGCGGCGTCGAAATTCCATCGTGTAAAATATCACACCGTATCTGTCTGCAGGGGGAAATTTAAGGAAGCTCTCGCTAATGAGGTGGATAGAGATTTTTACCGCCCCCTTGCCAGGATTGCCATCTCAGTTTGACCGTCCGTCCGGAGATCGGCACGGTGGGACCTCGGAAAAAGAGATCTCCCAATATCACGTTACCGTATAAAATGTATCAGCGATTTATTTCCCAACAGAATGGAATTTTTTACAGTTGCTCCTGTGTTTCGAAAGTATACTTATGGTATTTTTCAACAACGTGCTTTGCTCTGAGCTCATAATTTATTACACGCTCTGCCACGTTGAACCGAAGATTGTCCCCTTTTGTCTGAAGACTCCGGGCGGAAACTAGAGAGAGAGAGAGAGAGAGACGGCACAATCCATCGTGCGACTTTCCCCGGACGGAATCTCATTTCCTCGCGATAGCTCGCGCGCGCGGAAGATATTAAAGGCGCTAATTGTTATTGGTTCGTTGTTGTATATCACATTACGAAGCGGAGCCGTCCAACTTGCCGGTCCGCCGGCGTATTTACGAGGCCAACTTTGCTTTAGCATCGCCTCCCGCGGATGTTTTAACTTTATCGCGACCGAAGTATGATTTTACGAGAAGCCGTGGGAGCTAAATATGCCCGCGTCGTAAAATTAACGGCGTTTCCATAAAGGAATCCGGGCTGCTTGCGTTAAAACTCGATAAAAGCCAATAAAGCATCGCCACAGAGAGCGCAGTTTAGTCGAGTTTATCGCTCGCCCGCTGCCCGGCGAGTCGCGAGAGGCGAAACACCGGCCGAGAGTCGTCCGAGTGACCGCGCGCGCGCTCTCTCGCGGTTCACCCCGTGTCCATTTGCGGTGTCCTTCTCCGGATAAGACGTATGCGTATCCCGCTGGGCGCGGGAGCGCCGGTTTTACTGCGTCCTTTGCGAAAATCCTCGGCGAGCGGCGACCTCGCCGTATATAACCGCGATCCCGGGGACGAAAAATCCCCGGCCTCGCCGTTAAGTACACACGCGCACAGGGACGCGCGCGCGCTCCTCCAAGCTACTATTAATTTCTATTAACCGCGACGCGCGCGTTACGCCGCCGGTGAAGTTGGCCGCGCGCGGTAGCAAAAAGTTAAACGCCACGAACTTCCGCGCGCGAGCGCGAATGAAAAACGGGGAAAGCGCGCTCGAAGGAAGGAGCCTGGATTCGCGCGACGCGAATCGATCACGTATTAATGTGTACCGGCGTGCGTACCGAAGAGGCACGCATTACTCTTCTGATTTACGCCGCGATCGCGAACTACACTTTACTTACATCCCCTCGTGAAGATCGAAACGTTTCTCTCCCCGACCTCCCTTTTCCTTTGCCCGTGTCTATTTAGCTCTCTCTCCTTCTTTATCCGTGTATCTCGGCGGTTTTACTGTAAACGATAAATTGCCGCGGAAATTGATAAAATCGAAATAAAATCTGACAGCCGCAGTACATCGTGCTCGGTAATGGGCAATATCCCAGTGTTTCTTGAGCATCGAGGGCCCTCTCGCGTAACTGCCGACAGCGGGGGCGGGGAGAACGATCGCTCGCTCGGACGGACGGACGGACGAATGAAAGAGGATCGTCAATTCGTCGTTATTACAGCGCGGAAACCTATATAACGGCCGTGAACGACCGGTATAACAGCGGTATGCATTCGCGGGGAGGTAAGTAGCTGACGATTATCGTGCGGGCTATTATAAAATACGTCATTGAGATCCGCGCACGAGGGGGATAACCTTCTCTTTCTCTCTTGCTATGGTGCGTGGCGCTGCGAGCACGCGCAACATAATCACTTGGGAAGTGGACCCGTTGTATTAGTAATGGCTCGTAGCTTTATCTGCGCCGGATACTAGCTACCTATGTAAAATGCTGCCCCTCGCCTTTTACGCGCCAACATTTTTGCGCATCGATATCTTTATGGTAAGCGTAAAGGCGGCTTTATCGCGCAATTTAAACGCCGTTTCGAGCGACGCCGCGATACCGCCCACTACAATTCCCCTCTTCCTCCCCCCCCC